TGTGGCAAAAACAAAGTCACAAATACACATCCGAGGCCGAAGTAGCTTTAAAGCTGCTCTCCGTTCCTAGATGGCGATAAAGGTTTGTCGGACCTTAGCCAAGCTCCATGAATTTATCCACAGCGTTGGGTCTGCTGACCAGCAATGAATGCATGTGTAGAACGGTGGAAACCGCAGCTGACGCAGAAAGGGGCTGCAACTCTTCTCTCAATTAGCAGCAACGCTGAAATTGAATAATTCAACATGATTAAGTTCGAAAAAAAGAACATTAACAGAGTCAAACGATGTTTCAAATGTATTGTTTTGATGAGCTAACACAAGGCGCTTGCGCGAAGGCCATATAAAATATGCTAGTAGTTAGCAAAACGTACAAACGCGTACATACTTACGTTTTGTTGCCACAAACGGGGTTAGTCTGCACAAATTCAACGCTCTCTCGACCTTACTAACATATTAAACACTGTACATAAACTACATCACCAGCCTAAGTCGGCCATGCAAGATGTCCTCGCTATCAACATCTCCACCCACAGGAATACGCAGGGCTGAAAGGAGCGACGTGATTGGCCAGGATTAAACGTTATGCAACGTGTTCCCCGTCACGTTTCCATAATGTGCTTTCTTACCTCTGCTTACACGTTATCTGCGGTCATTTTTAAATGTTCCACCATCGATTTCGATGTTTTCTCGATACAATCTCTGACAAACTCCGTTTTTAAGCGAAAACCCCGAAAATATCGTCTAAACTGGGAGATTAAAGGCAGCTAATGGGAGACTTCGGTTTCAGTTATGTGGTATACCCACAAGTACCCGGATGATCACATGCCGCGCGGCAAGGCCAGCTTCTGAGCAGGTGTGCTCGATTCTTTCTCGTGACCGCGCCGCAACCGTGCGTTTGGTCGGACATAACTAACCCCGCCCATTGTCATCATCAGCGGTAATCTCTAACCAATGTGTACCCCGTGAGCCACGTTAAATTACATAAAAACTTAAGATGTGACATGGCATCAGCAGTTGTTAATACATAACATTTGCTGTAGAGTTAGGTACTACTATTACTATTGCACAGAGCTTCTCTAATTGGTTTGGACAGAAATTAGATTGTTTTTGTGTGACAACTTTGATTACAATAAAGAAATTGCAAGTTTTATTTGAATTTTGTCTTAATTTCATGGCAGTTGTGTCTAAAGTCTGTAAAACGACACTGGCATTACATGAAAACTGGGCAAATAAGTTGAACATACCCTTTAAATAATACTGGCAATTTACAGTCTGGCAAAAGCAATGTAGCCGTTGGTCACGTGGGTTGCTAATGCCACATTAGAGGGCACAGTGAAATTTTGTTGATATCACACATTTGACTTGACAAACTGTTCATTTCACAGTGAGCAAAACTTTGAGGTGATGACGTACGTTATCATTTTTTAATGATAAAGTACAAACTTACACAATAGTTGTGATTTAATTGAATCAAATGACACTTTTATTAAATAACCAAAACTGGACCCACATAGATCATACTCCTAGCAGGGCTCTGGTGTACATTTGTCATAACTGGGTATCCTTTGGCTCTGAGTGAGGTACAGGGTTACTATATCAAGACTAGATTAAAATAAGGTGTTAAGAGGTATTCATTTCTAAGTTTTTGATAGTCTATCTGGTAGATTTTAAAATGTTATACGTTATGTAATTACTTTGTTTGTTTGTTTTTACTGTAACCCTGTTTGTAATTATAGGAAGAGGCAGCCTCATACATTTGTTAGAGTGTCATTAATGGTAAATTACATTTTGTTATTATCAATTGGAAAAATCAGAAGGATGATCATTTTGACCTTTGGTTTAATGATGGAATGGTTATCGAAGGATATTTCACTCAGGTTATTGAATTTTAGGTGTAAATTCAAGCAATAGAAGTTTAATTTAACTTGTTAACAGGTTTTGTTTAAAGAACAAAAATAAATCTTTTGAATAAATAATTTCTGTGGGATATATTGCATGCCACAGAAATGTCAGGGTTGGAGCAAAGATAGCACACTGTGCTCGGTAAGAAGAACATGTTGTATCACCCTGGGGCAGAATGACAAGTTATATCATTGTCGCACGACCAGATCTGTGAAGCTGTGCAACATGCCTCCTTTTTTTCCCCTAAGTATCGTGCATGCATGATAAAATGCATGCATGATAAGATTAAAAGCCATGGCTTTTAAAGTACATTACACCTGAGCATTTCTGTTTCTGCTTTCTAAGGGAAAAACAGCTTGAAAAATCCTGCTCAGTGAAACAGAAAATAAAAAAGAAAGTAAAGCTTAACGTAAGGGAGCAAAGTCTGGACTTTAGCTGTTCTGTTATAGGTGTGGATATGAGAGGAATTTCTGTCACTTTCTGACCGTTTGTTTTTCTGTCTGCTTGCTTTAGAAGTCCTTGGTTGCACATCTCTGTCTTCTGGAGAAAATTACAGTATGTGCAGGAAAACCACAGGAGTGTGGTTAAGGCGTGCAATGCTTTTCACAATTATACAGTCAAAGTATTTGTTTGTGTTTTGCTTGTCTGTCTGCATTTTTTGCTGAGTGCATTGAAAAGTAATTGTTTCCAATGTCTGATGGCTTTTTCCACTGTGACCTTCTGGCTTCTCAAGGATATGCATCAAACATTCCTGAAAAAAAGTTATTTTCCATCATTTATTCTCTGCTAAGATTTGAAAAATTACTGTAAAATCACAGAAGCCTAAAGATTTCTCTGGCTATAAGAAAGCTAGGTTACTCTAATAATTATGTTGAAAAGGGTGGTGGGGATGCAGTCAAAAACATCCCATTACACTTATACAAATTGCCACTAGATGGCAGAATTTACCAGAAATAGTTTTTGTAGAGGATCAAAGTGCACTTTAACGTTTTTGCCTTTGAGTCAGTTTTCACAAACTTTGAGGTTTTTCTGTCTTAATCTTCCTTTTTGTTTTATTAGAGCTATCTGAGCCTATGATAATCTATTTAACTGGACACGAAGCCGTGATGTGATTTTAAATATTCTGAGCTTCAGTAGTTTTAATCAGTTAATCTACTTTGCTTTTAAACACAAAGGTTGAGCAATGCAGGTTTTTCCCTGTGTAGAGCAGCTATAGACCAATCATGAAGGTTATAGTGCAGACACAAATCAATCAGCCTTTTGCTCTGTTTTTCTCAGTGAACTTGGAGAAAGAGGACATATACTGCAGTAAACATTTAATATGTGTGCAGCCTTCCAAAATGTGTGACAAGATGAAGAAGAAGAAGAGCATGCATACTTGAAGGCAGATCTTAATCTACATCAGGCCACATCACAGTGGCCCAAGAGCACAAGATTCCTCATTGTTACTGATACAGCCGCTTCTCATTTCGGTTACATTTAATGTGTTTCTAAATCATCTCAACCAGTTTGCTTTTCTTCTGGGCTGTTGAACATTTTTTAAAACCTCTCTATATAAGGATATTGTTCTATTTACCCCATTTACATGAGGACCAGAGAGAGATCATAAGACAGCTTTAACATGTGGTTTTGTAGAAATATGACTTTGTTTGCTCACATCCCAGAATCACAGAATACAGGATTATGCTTTTCAGAAATATCTACATCATATGCTTGTATATACTGTATTTACCTTAATAAAATATATATTTTAACTGAGCACTGATTTTATGAATTAATTAATAATGACTTTGCATAATATTGACTTGAAAATATGTGCTAAAATGCTGTGACATGCAGTTATGTGTTGGCAAAGACACAAAAACGAAATCAGAATGCCTCAGAAGGAGGTTTTACTTTATAATAACAAGTTAAAGTACTATAATAATAATCAGAAAGTCAGTTCTGTGTGCATCAGGGTAGCTTATTAACAAAGCGCCTTCATCTCTTTAAATGGAAAAGCTTTTGGTCCCACATTAATAAGGGATTTTGCAAACTAGGTGTACTTAATAATATAGATTGGGAGTGACTGGAGAACTGTGGGTGTTATCCTGCCAAATGCAGCATGGTGCATTTTAATGTGGACCACTATGCCGCACAGGTTTATGTTACATTGCCACATTAATTGTACAAAGCAGTCATCGTCCAATCCTAGTTGTGTGATGAAGTTGTTGTTGGAGCTTGTGATTGTTTTAAAATGTCAATCTCAATAAATTGAAGTTTTATTAGCTAACACCAGGGTTCACTGTTGCTCCAAGCTGCTGTCCAGTGCAAAAAGTACTGCAACTAAAATGTAAATACCACCAGTTTAGGTTAATTACACTCAGCCATTTTTTGTTACACTGAACCCGAAAGTTATTTGCACCAACCTTATTTTTTGTCAGCCTTACATTTCTTTCATTAGCCTACATTGTTACTGTAAATGCACGATCATCGCTGTTACTCCAAAGTAAAGAATACTTCTACAGTGTATCGCTCGGTGTTGCTTTATTTAATGTATTCATGCAGATCCTGCAAAGCCGTGATGGCCCATGGGAAGGGCAAAAAACTAAACGCAGAAACTAACGTTAGACCCTGAGGGATCCGAGATAATGACCTTGAAAGTAATTCCGATCTTTTCAACGAGTTCTCCTCCAGAGGAACAGAGAAGGATACATTATGCATGCAATCTATTATTAATGGTCTTGAGTCATGTTACGATCAGACATGGGCCCTCAGAAAATAACTGAAAAGTCTGTGCCTCTGGCGGGTTTGTCCTCTAAACACAGTTACATAAAAGCAGTTGCTTTTATATTAAAATATATATTATTCAGTGCAATTTGTGTCTTTTGTCTGACTGGTCATTTTACAGGATGTGCGGTTCAAGAGTTTTGAGGAAGCAAACTTTTATAAGGAGTAGACGACAGAAAGGGGAAAATGAGCGGAGTACTCCCGTCCTTTACTGTTTGTATTCATATTAACAATCTTTATCAGGAGCTATATCGATGGGTTTTTTTTATTGATCCAATTAAAACGCTTTGCTGATTCTTCCCGAGAGTCCATTGGTTGACAGCTGCGCTCTGTTTTCTCCGGTCCCGCCTCCATCTGTCAGCCTCTGCGCTTGAACGGCACTGTATGACTGTTGATGCACTGTAGGGAGATACTACTCTTAACTTTATGCCTGCATGGACAGTTCCAAAAGAAAACAAAAGAAAAGGGAAAAGAATAAAACATTTCAGTTGACAAGCTCGTGGAAGGCGCTTGTGTATTCACACTGCGTCTTCGTCGGTATTTTCCCCCCACTTTTTCCAAGCCCTCTTTTTACAGTATGAAGCGCAGTTATGGCAAGGAGTAGCAAGTCAGTAGCAAGGACCCTGGAGGATTTGACGCTAGACTCGGGTTATGGTGGAGCCGCCGACTCCTTCAGGTCTTCCAGTGCGTCGCTGTGCTGCTCAGAGGCACATGGAGGGAATTACTGGCATTTAACCGACTCGATGCACAGTCGACACAACAGTCTGGACACTGTTAACACGGTCCTGGTCGAAGACGCCGAGATCCTGGAGTGCACCGGGCAATGCGCTAAACTACCCGAGCTTGAGGATGTGCCGTGGAGCCTCGGGGAAGTGGCGAGCGCTCTGAGCAAGGACGAGGAGATGAGCCTGCCGACACCACAGCAGGACGTCCTGCACAGGCTCTCGGTTCTGGTCAGCCGGGCCCTGGTCAGGGTCGCCAAGGAGGCGCAGCGCTTGAGTTTGCGCTACGCCAAATGTACCAAATATGAGATCCAAAGTGCCATAAAGATGGTCCTGGCGTGGACCGTGTCGATGAACTGCATCAGCGGGGCCCTCAGTGCATTGTCACTGTACAATATGAGCACAGAGGACGACAAGTTCACCCGCGGCAAGTCGGCGCGATGCGGACTCATCTTTAACGTGGGGAAGTTCTTCAGGTGGATGGTCGATAGCAGGGTAGCAGTCAGGATCCATGAGCACGCGGCGATCTACCTGGCCGCGTGCATGGAAAACCTCTTCCGCGATGTGTACGCGCGGGTGCTGCGCAGTGCGCTGCTGGAGCGGGATAACGGGATCCCCAAGTTTACTGTGGAGATCCTGGAGCAGGCCGTTAACAGTGATGCAGAGATATGGGGCTCTTTGCAACCCTGGCAACACCTGATCTGCGGGAAGAATGCAAATGGTAAGTTAAGGATAAAGCAGGTCAATTTAACAAGAACCCCCTCTCCAATTTGCATTCATACATGTACACATTTTAAATTATGCCACTTGCAGAGTTACTTCTCACTCCCCACAGCAGGTTTTAAAATCAATAACAGACTGCACAAATGTCAGAACATTGAAGATTTATATAGATAAGTAGGCTGCATTCTCTCAGTTTCACTTTCTGCACGATTCCTGCAGCTCCTGCCTCCTCAAAGAACTGTGAAACTTTAAGTGACAGGAGGAAGGGATTCCTGCAGCTAGAATAGTGCTTTTCAAGAGTACTGGCGCTGCAAGCAATTGAACACTGACCAGTTGGTCTTCGTGTGAAACTGTGATCTCCTTTTGTCCAGATTGCCTCGTTTGTCCTCTGTGCAAAGTTAGACTGGAGCTGCTGTTCTCTCATATACTTCTCATACTGTATGTGGCTGTTTTGTTCAAAATGGGTGAGCACAGCATCCCTGGGTTGAGTTATTCACTCTTTCAGTAAAGGGGGCTCTGCCTGCAGTGATGCTATGCAGAGATGAGTTTCTGTTCTTTTCACCCAGAGCGAGGATTTTTATTTTCTGGGTATAGCAGCTGATTCTATTACAGAGTACCCAGACTTTTCAAGTGTTAATAATACTTTTTGTCTGGTGTCTTTGAAAATATCTGAATTCAAAGGACAAGTCTAATAGTATTCTGACTTCACTGCCTTTTAACCATCAATACATCCGTAACCACTCTAAGACATTCTTGCCCCTGTTTTGATGGATGTTGTAAAAGCGCTGCTGTGACTCCTCTTGCAACAGGTTTACATAATAAAAAAGGCCCTGGGGACGTATGTGCTGTTGTGCATTATGCAGAGTGATGCAAATAAAACTGAGTTATAGAAAGAGAGGGAGAATGAGAGACAGAGAGACAAAGTTAGAAAGACTGTGACTGTATTGATGAATCACCCACAGAAGAGAATAGTACTTCATTTTTACTGTGCCTTTTGTTTTAAGTGCATGTCAGTTGGTTTGCAATTTTCTTGCTTATTTGTTCACAGTGGTACAGGATTGTAGTTATTTAGTGAGACTCGTTTAGAGACAGGTGACAAATTACTAGAAAAACAAAGTACCTTAGTATGGTGTAAGGCCACCATGTGCCACAAGAACAGCTGTACCTGGTTCTCCAGTTTTCTTGGAACTCTGCTTTAGGACTGAAACATCATTCTTCCAGCATTCCTTAATTTGGTAATTTGATTATCTAACTTGTTTAGAATCTTCCATAAATGTTCAATTGTATGGTTATGAGGTGACTGCAAAGGCCATAGCAAACAACCCACATTTTCATACTCATCAAACCATTTGATGACCCTATGTGATCTATGGATGGGGCGCTATCATCCTGGAAAAGAGCGCTCACCTTAAAGATAATTTTCGGTGTAGGGGTCAAGCGTTCAGGCCTGCCACAAACGCTCTCACTCACTTGTCAAGAACACAATGAAAATAATTCATCTGGATGTAGCCACATCTCTGTAGACCAGTGCCTAAGCTTTTTTTTGCACCACTGAACTGTCAAATGTGCATTCATCTTTGTAATGAGGGGTTTATACACTGCAACCCATCTAATATCCCTCTCTATGTAATTGTCAGGGCTGTTCTTGCTGACAGTCTGATCACGTCCTGCAAACATATTCTCAGTCACCTGAGGAACAGATCTTCTGCTTTCATTCTGCTACACATCACACTCACGAAAGCATCATGTTTATCACATATGTTCTATGTTCAACACTGATTACTGATGTATTTCTGATAGTTGTAATGCAGACTGAATTTCTTAATGAAACTCTACTCAGTTGGATATTCTTTGTGACTCCTGCCATCTGTGCCCCCTCTTTAAGTCCCTTAGTTTTTTTTCTTATGCTATCTTGACACAGAATCAGAATCACTTGAGCATGCTCAGCAGTTTTATACATGCTACATTGCATGATTGGATGATAATTGTTTAATTGTACCATGTAGTGCACCTGTGTGGAAGCATCTGCATTTTTGCTGTGTTTATCTACTCATTTATAAAAGCTTTTTTGCATAGCATGTGCATTTATTTGTAGTGATTGCAACACACACTGAATCTACACATGCAACAATGCCAGAATCGCCACATACAATTAAAAGTAGTACAATAGAACGTCAGAGCTTAGAGTATGAAGACACAATGCACAGTACTAAATATCAGGATTCACTCAGAAGGCACACTCAGGCCACTTGGCATGCAAATAAAATATCTTGAGCATATGGAATATTGACATAAAGCTCAAGGCTAGGAAAATAACGTAGTGAATGAAATCATGCAATACCGTGTAATATAGCATTTTCTTAAAGGGTTAGGTAGTAATTATTGAACCACTAGCATAAAAATAAACATCAAAACACTAAAAATCAATATTTTAGATATGAATGTTTGAAAAGGTTTACAGCTTTACAGAGCTTATTGGTTCACCTATCTGTATTAGTGCATTTTTTGTCAGTTTTCAAATACTTTTAGCCTAGCACCTCAGCAGATACATGTTAGTGGCAAGCTAATGAACACAGTGAATCATTTAACAGCTACACAGAGGAAAAAACAATCTATAGCTTAATGAATCTTTAGAGGCAAAAGCAGTCTTAAAAGGAAAGTAAGAGTAGACCTACAATGAGGAGGTGGCAGGAAATTTGACTCCAAAATGAAGACATATTTCTGTATCTACATGACAGGAACTTGCTAGCAAACAGTTGCCTAAGAGGTGATAATATAACAGAGTTCAAAAGCTCATCCCTTACCACATTTTCTGTTCTAATGGCAAGATCTCTAAACCTTAAAGCACCCTACAGAGACAGAGAAAGCTGAAACACAACATCATTTGTTTTCTTCCTACTAAAACCAAACAGCCATCCAGTCTGAGGGTGGTTTGACCTTACCAGAGTCGCTGCCTGCCAAACTGAACTTCTATATCGCTCTATCCATTCTCTCTGTCTTACTCAGCCAAGTGGGAGTAATTTAGGTGATTTATCCATATTATGCTAAAGCTAGTGACCCAGCTTTGTGAAGAGGACTTTATGAATATCTTGAGCCAAAGCTTATTTCTGTTTCTTTGTTGTCACAAATTCAATAAGGTGTTTTTCTTTTTTTAAGATTTAGGTTCAAATACCTTAATGATTTGCAAAGTCATTTTTAGAAGGGGGCTTCAGTTTCCCAGCAGCTTATAAAAGCTACACAGTTTGCTTTCTTGCAGCCAGATATATTAAAGGCCTGCTTGACATCTATATAGTCAGTTTTAAACTTTATCTAAAATACATATATATAATATATATTAGTATTATATTAGTATAATATATATATATTATCATAATAAAAAAATATATGTATATATATATGATGTTATATATATATACAATATATATAAACACCCACACGCCCCTGCGGGCGGTTTATCCTTCAAGCTCGGGTCCTCTACCAGAGGCCTGGGAGCTTGAGGGTCCTGCGCAGTATCTTAGCTGTTCCCAGGACTGCGCTCTTCTGGACAGAGATCTCCGATGTTGTTCCCGGGATCTGCTGGAGCCACTCGCCTAGCTTGGGAGTCACCGCACCTAGTGCTCGATTACCACGGGGACCACCGTTACCTTCACCCTCCACATCCTCTCGAGCTCTTCTCTGAGCCCTTGGTATTTCTCCAGCTTCTCGTGTTCCTTCTTCCTGATATTGCTGTCATTCGGAACCGCTACATCGATCACTACGGCCGTCTTCTTCTGTTTGTCTACCACCACTATGTCCGGTTGGTTAGCCACCACCGGTTTGTCCGTCTGTATCTGGAAGTCCTACAGGATCTTAGCTCGGTCATTCTTCACCACCCTTGGGGGCATCTCCCATTTTGACCTCGGGACTTCCAGGAACAGCTAAGATACTGAGCGGGACCCTCAAGCTCTCAGGCCCAGGCCTCTGATAGCAAACCCAAACATATATATATACACATATTCATCGAGATCTCAGGGCCTCCTCTCACCATGTGTGACTGTGTGTTATTTGCATTTGCAGGTGGGTGTTGGGTTTCCCTCCTTCAGCTGTGGTATCTTGTCAGAACAGGAAACTATTCTATATGGTGGGATATTTCTTATGGCTCCTGCTAGAGCTAGGACACAGTGATTCTTTGATTACCTTAATGACATGTGCATGTCAGAAAATGTCTAGTGGAACGTGATATCCACCACGCAGGGATATCTTCCACCCTGGGGACCAGTTTGTAACCACACTTTATGTGTGAAATGACTTTCAAGTCTGGGCAAATCTCATTTGGTTTTTCAAAGGAAAGTTTCACCCTAAAGACATTTAAATAGTTGTTTTTAGTGCACTTTGATATACTTGATCTGCTTTATTTGTATATTGGTGGCATTTCTCTTACCCTTACTCAAATAATTATTAATGGCATACAAATTGGACCAAGTATTCATAACCTCATGGCTAAATAGCAACCATTTACAGCTGCTATATTCAGCTTTTTATGTTTGAAAGGGGCTACTCTTTACTGTGTGTATATAAATGTCTTTAAGATCATTTCTTTGGTTTAATGGGTGGCAATGTTGTGGAAATAGAGTAGTCAAGCAATTACAGCCGAGAATGAAACAGATTTTGGTGCAAAGCAGAATACAATGCAAGAGTACTGTGCTTATTTTATAGATTTCCAGTAGCCCGACTTCAAAAACGGCAATAGGTGATAACATTAGGGGTGTTGTCTTACAGCTGAATCTACTTTATAAGCATGATTATGTAATTGATTAATAACAAACAGACCTTTTATACATTCAGCTAATGATTACTTAATGATCTTAACAGATGGAAAAAGACAGAACATCTTCTTATGGTTAGTATATAGAGTAACCAGAGATGCAAAATGATGTAACATTGGATTTATCAACAGAAATTCAATGCAGCAACACCTTGCATCTTTGTGGAAGTGTTGCCAGGTGCTTGGGAAATACAACACTCTCGAGAGGTAATTTGAGATCTTTTGAACAACAGGCGTGCTGCTCTGTGGTATTGTTCTGCATGCATCCTTACTTTTTCTTCCATGATTAAAAAAATTTAAAAAAAAAAAAAACCTTTGTACTAACCAATGCACACTGTTTTTAACCACACCAAAAATAATACAACTTTCTCAGTAGGGCATACTGGAAAAATGTGTGAAATCACCAACTGAAAAGACAAATAGAGAAAAAAGGGTTGTACAAAAAAAGTAAATTACAGCACTGAAGCACACCCATTGGAGAGCATTCTGCCATTACAGTGTGAAGTGCATAACAGAGGTGGGGGTTTCCTTTTAAAGTCTTAACAGCAGACCCTTCACTTAAAATTTAACATTTACATTTACAAAATTTTGGTCATCATGCGAGACAAGCAGCTATCCAGTCGCTGAGTCAACAGTATGTGTGCTGTTGTAACAAGAATGCTTTACTGCTGTACGTTCAGATGTTTTAATTACGTTGGATCTCATCGCTGAAGTGCAAGAGCACTGGTCCAGCTACATTCCAGGTTTTTTGTTTCTTATTCACTTGCTGGTGTAGTTGAGCAAGGCTGGTGCCTGGTGCACATGTGTGTGTGTGGCGAAGGCAGGGAGACAAGAATGACTGCGGTTAGCAGCCGTACCACTCTGTACTGGTGGAGACCAGTCCCAATTATGTCTGGAAGAAAGATATAATATATCTGTACTAGGGAAACCCTGACACAGCAGCATAGACTTGGTCATGTAAGGCAGCAACAGACACTGGCGAGTATTGAAACACACGCTCAAAGAGCCACACATGGCCAGGGGTAGATCTGGTTTTAATTGTAAGTTTTTAGGAGGGAATGAGGAATGCTGATGTGACATGGTGTCTGGCACAATGAGGGGGAGCTTCAGCCAAGTTAGCTTCAGTTGATTAAGAGGAGACAAGTGATAAAATGTAGTTAATTCTGTACCCAGCTGGCGGTGCCTGCAATGGGCTGTGCATCATTTTTTTTGTTCTTTAGCAGCCATCCTTTTTTCTTATGCACTTCACTGGATTGTATAAACTTTCCATTGCCTGTGCGAGCATGTGTGTGTGTGTGTGTGTGTGTACATACGTGTGTTGGTGCATTCGGCTAGTGAGCTGCCATTAAACTGCAGTCACTGCACACTGAAAAGGAGACACAAAAAATAATCGTAATACTGTTAATGTTGTCCCCTATGACTTTTCAATGATGAATTGATGAAACTGCGTCTTGTTATTGTTATTTTTTCTGAAGAACAAGAGCAGAACAGAACAATACAATCTCCTCCAAAATAATCAATATTTATGAAAAATCACTTCAAGGGTAAAACCCCCTGAGCCACTGAGTGATGAAATTTAAGAAAACACTACTGGAGCTGAGGCAGCATTGACTAATTTAGCTCATTTTTATGCTTGACCTTTCATACCAAAAAGAGATTTACTCCATTACAGCCCTGGCAGTGTTAACCCAGAAAGTGTGCACTTATTGCTATAAACTCACTCAGCATAATGTTTTTAGTTTCATGTTTACTGCCCGTGGAAGAGCTTTGCTATTTTTTCATGCCAGGATGACAATATCAAGGGAGCTTTAGCCGTTTTATTTCTGTCTTTGGGGTAAATTTGTTTCCCTCTGGACCAAATTGTCTGAGTGTTTTTTAGTAGGTTTTCCCAAAGCACAGATGGAAAGTTTACCTTTTGCAGTGTAGACACTAAAAATATGCCACTGCTGTGCAAGAATAGTTTGATAATTACTCTGCATCCAGTAAATCTGTGGCTAAGAATGAATTGTTCAAGATGTCGACTTTGGAAGAAAAGCAATGAGAGAGGAAGCGGCACAGATGGCAAGGATCAAAACAGGAAAATCCATAAGAGAAGCTGTGGGTGACAGATGAGACCTATACAAGCAATGTCTCCTGCTTATTATAGCAGGAAGAAAAGTCTGCGCAAACAAGTACCAGCAAGTGGATTACCTAAGGTGAAGCATCAGTATCTATTACATTTTTTTGCAGCTCTGAATTCCTTTTGTTGTATAGAGGGAAATGATCCTATTTAAGCAACATCCAGTGTGGCTGGAAAATATGAGGAAAATACTGGTAAACAAGCTTTGAACTTGTTTTCCCTCTTTGATGTGAGCCGAGCAAAACTCGAAGAAATTGTCTTGTCACTGGTAGAAAAAGTGATTTGTGTGTTAAAGACAGCTGCATGTCAGGACATACCGGATTCACAGTTGGTGAACTGTGAACCAAATTCCAAGATATTTACATAAACAGATTCATGCATGCATCTCACACACACAAATACTCACACACAACACTTCCATCGTCTCCCATCAGATAAATGCTGCAATCAACAGAGCGTGCTTTCGGCTAACACAATGCGCCATCCCGTGTTGTGAGCAGCACCAGTAACAAGCTTCGCTGTGCTAATACATTTAGGCCCGTATCATCTAACCTGTTGTTGTTTGATCACAGTAAGACAACGATGAGAGGCAGCAAATGTTGCAGATCATTTCATTGCGAGAAATCCATTTGCAGTGACAGTTAGCTTCCTCTAGATGGGTGTGGTTAATGTTTAGCTGATAATATTAAAGAAGTTTATTTGCTCAGAGGACCTAGTGACACCTGTTTAACAAATGTTTAGATGATTCCTTTGATTTAAACGCACACACTTAGAGAGAAACACCCAGTTTGTCTACTACCTCCCCCACTCATGAAACTTTGTGTTGTTTCCCACTAAATGACAGAACTGTAAATAAAGACTTCTTGATGCATGCTCAATCATCCAGGTAAGTAAATCTCCAAAAGTTGATTCTGTTCATCTGGACGTAGTGTTTTGTGGGCTGGTTTCAGTCATTATGCAAATGTACTGTTTATATTCTTGTCTTATATATAACAACAGGGCGAAGGCGCTGCTCTTGTGGCGACCTGCAGCAGGTGTTTATTGGCGTTTTCTTTCTCTTTTTCTTTTTAGAGAGATTCCCCTTGTCTCCTTAATGGCAAATAATTGTCCTTGAACTTTCTATCATTATTATTGTTATTATTATTTTATAGTATTGTTCTGTTTATTTTTATCCTCCTGCTGCTAAACCAATTTCCCCTTGTGGGACAATAAAGAAATTGAATTGAATTGAATTGAATTGAATAAGATTGGGGAAACCTAGAGACCCGGTGCACCTAAACGCGTAGTGAGGGTGTGCTGGGAACATCCATATGCAAGGCCCCAGTCCGTGAGATCAGAGCTGCGCCACCCGAGAGCTTCAACAGCATTCCGAGGGAGACTGGGG